CACTCCGTTCCAGGGCCTATCCCATATGGCGACGCGTCGATTTGGGCCGTTGCGTCGCGGCTTTGCGGCCGGGGTCGCCGCGGTCTGTTTCGGGCTCTCGCTCCATCCCGGCGCCCGCGGCGACCTCGCGACGCCCGGGGACGGCGTCTACGGGCCGCTCGTGGCCGCGATAGCCGCGGCGACGGGCGGCCTGCCGGACTCGGCGCTCGACGTCGGCTGCGGCCACGGGCTCCTCGTCGAGGCCTGGCGCGAGGCGGGCGTCGCGCGGAGCTTCGGGCTCGAGGGGTCGCCCGCGGCCGCGGCGATGTGGCCCGAGGCGTTCCGCGACGAGTTCTACAAAGTCCAGAACCTGAGCCTGCCTGGCGCGGCCGCCGCGGCCGAGGCGACGGCCCTCGTCACGAGCTTCGAGGTCGGCGAGCACCTGCCCGTCGAGGACGCGGCCAAATTCGTCGCGGTCGTCGTCGCGAAAAGCCCGCGCCACGTGTTCTTCGGCGCCGCGACGCCGTTCCAGGACCGCGGCGGGAACCCGACGCCCTTGAACGAGAACACCTTCGCGTTCTGGCTCGAGCGCTTCGAGGCCGCGGGCTACGTCTTCGACGCGGCGCGCACCGCGCGCGTGCGCCAGCTGCTCTTGGGGACGCCCGCGGCGCGGCCCGTCCTCCGCAAGAGCTGGTGGTACCCCAAGAACATCCTCGCCTTCGCCCCCGCGAGCGCGCGGCCGGAGCTCGACGCGGCGGTGGCGAAGCACCCGGACGCGGCGGACATGCGCGCGGAGGCGTACCTCGCCGCCGGCGGGTCCGCGTCGGACGTCTTCGGCGACATGTGGCGCCGGGACTGGCTCGCCTTCGCCGACCTCTTCTACGCCGAGCGGGCCGCGGCGCGTCGCCGCCTCGTCGACGGCCACGGCCCCGTCGACGTGTCAAACATAGCCCCCCACCTCTACTCCCCCCGCTTCGCCGCACCCGGCGGCCCCGCCGAGCTGTGATGAGCCGCCCATGGGCGGTCGTCAAAGTCCCCACGTCAAAGTACCCATAATAATGAGACGTTACCTCGGCCGGCCCAGCGCGGCCGCGGCGACCGCGAGGCCCGCCCAGCAGGCGGTCTCCGCGCGGAGGATGCCGGCGCCGAGGCTGACGAAGGTCGCGTCCGGGTTCGACGCGCGCACGGCGGCGAGGTCCGCGTCGGAGAAGCCGCCCTCGGGCCCCACGAGCAACGCGGCGCCGTCGCCGAGCT